ATAACAGATTAAAAGAACGTAAGAAGGAAAAGAACTACACTTCCCAGAATCCTCGAGTTTCCTGTTTCACCGTCAGTGCCGAGCCTCCGCCGCCTCCTACAACAGCTGTTAACAATCCCGCTGAACCCATGCAGATTGGACGCACCCGCTTGTCTCCTGAGGAGAGACAAAGGCGCTTCACAGCCAAACTCTGCATTTATTATGGTAACAAAGGACATTTTGTTGCAACCTGCCCGCTGTGTGGAAACGAGTCGTCTCGTCAGTAGATCAGGGGAAGCTGACGAGACAAGACAATTTCTCTCCTAACTCTCTGTTTTTTCTTCCTGCTACGCTGGTTTGTGGACAAACTAAGCTACCTATATCAGCCCTTGTGGACTCTGGTGCAGAACAAAATTTAATCTCGAGTGACTTAGTTGAACAACTGGGACTTCCTACCTCACCCCTCGACCCACCAAGATCCATCGCCGGTGTTACAGGACAACTTTTGTCTCAGGTCAACAAACTCGTCCCCAGATTACACATCATTGTATCCAGCAACCATCATGAATTTGGTGAGTTTGTTGTTTTCAATTCTACCTCCCCACAACTCATTTTTGGTTACCCATGGTTGTCTCAACATAACCCCACTATAAACTGGAAAGAAAAGAGGATTGAAAGTTGGAGTGACTTTTGTTTACAACATTGTTTAAAGTCGGCTGTATCAGTCTCCGTTAAAGGGGAGGAACCTGTAGAAACAGTTGATTTATCCTCAGTCCCTGTTGAAACCACTGATTTATCTTCTGTACCTGAGACCTATCATGACCTGGCATCTGTTTTCAGCAAAAACAAAGCACTTTCATTACCCCCTCACAGACCGTATGACTGTGCTATTGATTTGGTAACAGATTCACCATTACCATCCAGTCGTCTGTATAATCTCTCTGGCCCCGAAAAGGAGGCCATGAAGACCTACATTGATGACTCATTAGCCTCCGGTATCATTCGTCCATCCAAGTCTCCCCTAGGGGCAGGATTTTTCTTTGTCTCCAAAAAAGATAAATCCCTTAGACCTTGCATAGACTACGGAGGCCTAAATCAGATCACTGTAAAAAATAAATATCCTCTACCCCTGTTAGATTCTGTCCATGATCAGCTCCACTTCGCAACCATCTTCACCAAGTTAGATCTCCGTAATGCCTACCATTTGGTACGAATAAGGGAAGGAGACGAATGGAAGACTGCATTTAAGACACCTCTAGGACATTTTGAATATTTAGTCATGCCTTTTGGATTAACCAACGCCCCAGCAGTATTTCAAGCTTTGATCAACGATGTACTCTGAGATTTCCTTAATGTGTGTGTATTCGTATATCTGGACGACATACTCATTTTTTCACGTGACATTCAGCAACATAAACAGCATGTCAGAGCGGTTCTTCAGAGACTCCTTGAAAACCAACTATATGTTAAANACTGACAACTTCTTTTTTACTATAATAATGAATTGAGCTTATAATGTTCATCTCTTCCTGGTTACACCCTTGGAGGTGTTACCTTTTCTGTTAAGACGTTACTCATTCTTGTTTAGGCTAAAAGAAAGAACACATGRTAACACACACACACACACCAACTCTTATTCTGTTATGGCCTTAAAGCTGCAATGATCAGAAAGTATAAAATACAAAACTGAATCTAATATTCAGTTCATCAGTTACAAAATTTCTTCAATCCCTCTCTTGACATATATAAAATATGTCAAAACTATAAGAAATTTTATGAAACTTTATAAAGAGAAGTTATAACATCTGTTGTYACACCAGGATATTTCTAAACATTTCCCARYCCCAGAAATTATATTTTTAATCCTCCCAGACATAAAAATATTCATCATCAGGGATAAGACTCATAATGCTTTCTTTCCACTCTTGTTTCTTCTTCTCTGTCCATTTWTTTTTATTCYTCATCCAAAGGTYCTGTAGCTTTGTGCGATAATCTGAACGCTCCTGTTCTCGTTTCACAGGGTCTTCAAAGYGGTCTCCGATCCWGTWTACTTTTTTCTTGGATGTAGGTTTTACCTTCTCTTTCTCAGTTGATGGTTTGGCTTCCTCTGGTTGAGAAATAATGGTCAGTTGTTCTTCAGTTGCAGGTTGGGGGAACACATTTTCTGATTTCTCTGTTTGTGATGCTGATGAATCCAGATGTTCTTCCAGTTCAGCAGTTTGAAGTAACTCCCCTCTCTGTTGTCCTTCAGCCTCAGACGTCAGCTCATCACTCTCCTGTTTGGTTCCAGCCAGAACTTGATTCAGGAAATACTTCATGTTTGAAGCTAACAGCTCCAATCTATGTCGGTTCAGAGTCATTCCATCAGACTTGAACAGATGTTTTCTTTCCCAGAAGAGATCAAAGTTATCCACAAAACTCACAG